TATAATTTTTATTTTCAAATATTATCAAATAAAATTTTATTTAAATATTTTAAAATTTAAAAAATATAGATTATAAGTGTATTTTTAACAATTTTTTAGACAAATTTGTTTGGAAAGCTTACAGATTAAGGGATAATAAATAAATAATTTTATTTATAATATTATAATATTATAACTTAGAGTGATATTACCTATATTATAAAATTGCTAAAATTAAATAAAATAAACTTTTGAAGATTAGAATTAGAATTTAAATTTATGTTAGAGTTAGAATATAAGATTATATATATCTAAAATTACATGCTAAAAACTTTTACTTAATAACTCAAAACTAGTTTTCATAATAAAATTTTGAAATATTTGTGATTTTTTATTTTTTTTTATAAAAATTTCTTTATTTTTGTTATACAAGATCCTGTGATCTGATTGGCTTTATATATAAAGAGGTGATATCACCCCGGATGCAAGTTAGCAACATATTATAAAATTTTTTATTAATTAAAAATATTTTGTAGTTACTATACATATAAAAAAATTTTTTGCAACTAATTATATATAAAAATGATCTACATTGTACTTTATCTTAAGTTATTCAAAATAAATAACATGATTAATTTATTACTAATCATTATTATTTTGTCAGTCTAATTATTTTTGGTTGCATTTTTTTTTTGTTAAGTTACATGAACTTTAATGTTCGAAACTTTTTTGAGTGACGATTTTACACTGGTCTTGAAATATTATGTGATTTAAACTTTATGGGTCGGGCCAGGTCTAGTTTAAAATTAAAACCCGACCCGGTCCGTATTTACGGGCTTTTTTTTTTTTTAGCGGGCTGGGTTCGGGCTTGTAAATATTTTTGGAGTTTGGTTTTGGGCCCAGGTAAGCCCGGCCCATTCCGCTCCCTAATTAGTGTGATTTGGCTGAACACCACCACGTAGCGGTAGCGTGATTAGTAAAACCGTTCTTTTTAATTAAATGTAGTTTTATTTTTGATTATACTTTTGCATAATTCTTACTACGTAATTTTTAGCATTAGCATTAGTAAAAATCTAGGCAGTACCGAACAAAAAATAACCAATAATTAGGATTATACTGTATAATCAATTATGATAAGAGAGGATGAAACAACCCGCAATGTAAATTAGTAAAACTCGTTACGTAGATCACGTTAGGGGTAGTTGCATGCAAAAGCGGATTTCACCCTCATGTGATCTACCCAGTATGAAAGATCATCACAGGTACACCAATCAGATCTCTTCAGACAATCAAAACACCTAATAAAATGATTTACCACATAATTTTGATACGTGTAAGATAAATCCCTACTTCGGGCATAACTTTAACCCTAGAGCAGGGTTGGCAATGGATAAGGTCCATTGAGAAAATTATCAATGGAGCCAATGGAGTGAATGAAATAGTATCCATTGGCTTCATTGACTCCATTGAACCAACCATATTTATATTATTAATATATTCCTAATTTATATAATCATTGATAACTTTTTGTTCACTGATCCGTTTTGGCATCAAAATGGTCGTCTTGATGAGAGGACTCTAACAAAGTCAAAATCGCTAAAATACAATTACAGGATCTCAAGATCACTCAAATTTTGTGTAAATTTAATAAGAGGTAAAAACTCTTATTAAAATTACACAAAATTTGAAGGATCTTGAGATTTTGTGATTGTATTTTAGCGATTTTAACTTTGCCAGAATCCTCTCATCAAGATTATGATGGTTAAAACATCCATAATGGACCAGTGGATCAAACGTTATCAATGATTTTATAAATTAAAATAGTACTTATGGTATATTGTTGGACTTCATTGTCTCCATTGACAAATTATTTTCAATGGAGCATGTCTACTCCATTACTTCAAAAATTCGATCGTTTTGATTAGTGTAGATCATTTGCTTGGTGCATATGGTCCTACTATTAGCCCTGTCGTATTATGATAAATAATAATTTTTTTAATCTACGTAAGTATTAAGTGTTAAACTGAAATAACTTTATTAACTAAACATCAAAGAAAATAAAAACTATTCAAACAGAATTGTAGTTTGACAAACTTTTTATATAAAGATTTTTAATTAAATTATTTTTATAATGCTTTTTATAATACAATCATAAAATATTGGATATTTTTTTTTGCTATATAGTATACATTAGATAAAAAAATTTTTATTGTAAAAAATATGAGAATCGTCTAGCTCTAAGTTTATCAGTAGCAATAAAATCTTTAGTCAAGTTATTCCTGTTAACTTGAAATCTAAAGAAATAAAGTAAATGATGTGGATTCAAAATTTTAGTATCGTAAAAAAAAATTTTCTTACTTTTTTTTAAATTTTAACTATTTACAAGATGATAAATTATTATATTGTAATATTGTTAAATAATTGATCATAATATCAACATATGGTTTTTTTTTTTTTTGAAAGCATATTTATAATTATAAATAAGGATTACATCTAATCCTAATTTATAGTTTCAATATCATATTTAATTTCTGCATCGTTCGTATAATTTTCCTCAAGAATAGCATTATACCATCGTTTCTCATCTATAGTTCGAGCATGATCATTTTGTCGAATATCTTTTGATAATCTTCTTGATTGTAATAAACTTAATAAATGTTTATAAGTCCAGAAATCTTCATGTGTTGGTTTATTTTCCACAACAACCTCTATCTCATCATTCTCAATATCTTTGCTATCACTTGATATTTTATTATTACTCGTATCATTATTAATAGTCCTTTTTTCTTTTTTTCCTTTATTTTGTTTCTTATCTAAATCTGGCATACATTTGCCAAATCTTTTTGAATTATAATATAGAACGTTTTGATAAGCTTCAAACATTCCAAAAGGTAAGAAACAAACTTCACCCCTTGATAATTTTGGCTTTACATTTGCAGGAAGAGTTAAGTAAAATATTATTAATTTTGCAAATTTTTGTTTGATCGGACTTTGAGTTGTATTGGTATCTGTTGAAGATATTATATCATGAACAGAAGATTTAGTTGAAGATATTATATTAGGATCAGAAAATTCAGTTGAAGATATTATATTAGGATCAGAAGATTCAGTTGAAGATATTATATTAGGATCAGAAGATTCAGTTGAAGATATTATATTGGGATCTGAGGAAGTTGTTGGTATCAATATATCAAAAATTTGAGGTACAAGTTTAGCATTAGCATATAATTGTTCTTCACTAACAATATGAGTTAATCTATGTAATGATTGCATTAATTCATATCTAAACCCTTCCAACATATTATTTTGTTGAGTAGTTAAATTTAAAGAATCAACATTGTCTTTTAAATGATCGACAGAATTTTGTTTATAACCACTTTTGTTGGATTTAAAATGATTTTTAGGAACACGTTTTAAATCTAAATTTGAAATTGCACCAAGAAATGAAGTTCTAAGTTGTAAAATCAAATCATTTAGATGAATTCCTTCTTTTGATTTTATATGATCCATTTCTATTTTTCCAAGAGTTTTAATTGTAGGTAATTTAGAAACAGGAATTTGATGTCGATAATTTTCCATTACTAATATTTCAAGACCATTACCAATGGAATTTAGATCACGCTCACCATAATCATTTTTTGTAACAAATAATCCAACATAAACACTATCAGCTTCTAAAAAAGGCTTTAATCCAGAATTCGAATATAGAAACATATTTTCTAAATAATTCTGCATTTGTCTTACTGAAATACCAACTTTTTGAGCCATTATTGGAGCTATGAATCTAGGACTAGCGAATCTAAAACCTAGTTTTTGAAAATTTTCAACAATCCCTTTATCTCTACTTTTATTACGATATGAGCATTCTGAGTTGTTATTTGAAGATTTGGCAATATTTTCAGAAGATTTAATTTGTTTTACAATGAACAAAATTTGACCTTTTCCTTTATTAGATTGAGGCATTAATGTCTGTGGTTGAGAGCAATCATACATTGAGGAAAACGTAGACGAAGTTGACATAGTATGTATATCATGTGTCGTAGACGAAGTTGACATAATATGTATATCATGTATATCATGCGTATTGTTGTTGAGATTTGTTTTCTCAAGAGACAAATGTTCTTTAGCTGAAGAAGAATCACAACCGGTGAAAAGTATTTGATCGTATAATGTACCAGATTCAGCAAATGGAATGTTTAAAGAATTGGCAAGTTGTCGAGCATTTAACATAAATGATTCAATAAATATTGTGGAACGAGAAGTTTTGCGTTTGGGTTGTAATTTTGTTTCATCACTATATGGAAGGCTTAAAGTTATTTGAAGAAGGCGCAGAAAGTTATATAAGGTATATTGTGTGAAAAAAGTAATTTAACGTTAATGTAAAAATATTTACCATTTATTTACGGTCTCCCAATCATTTGATATTTGATAAATTGAATGAAATATTTCATCCTCTAAACTCTATAAAAAAAATAAAAATAAATTTCATTCTGATAAAAGTGTCAACTACAATATAATAGATATAAAGTATATACCAATTGATGGAACTCTTCGTTATCACCGATTTTTATTAAAGGTAATAAACCTTCAACTGAAACCAATACCATTCCTTCTTCATTATATATGGCAGCACCTAAAGCAATTTTTTGCATAAAAAGCTCTGTTCTTTTGGTATAAATTCCTATGGATAATAGGAACACACATGCGACCAAACAACCCAATGCTATCACTAATAATAATAATAATAATAAAATAAATAAATAAATAAATAAATATATATATATATATATTAGCAAATATTTATGAAAGTTGTGATAGATACGAAATTAACTTACACCCAAGAACTAAATTATCATTTAGGACAAAATTATCTAGGACAGGAGGTTTTCCATTGTCATAGTAATGGGTTCCCGCATATGCAGTATAGTGCATCCCACACACAGCAACAGCCATTATCATAGCAGTTCCTAGTTTTTTATACCTTAATTCAAATAAAAATAATTTAAACCAAATCTGAAAAATATATATTAATTATATATATATATTGAAACTATTACTACTGTATATAATAATAATAATACTCAAGGTCTTTATTCAAGAACTTTGTACTTTTTAAATTGAATAATATTTGGGGATATTTTGTATAGAATTGTATTTATACTGTATTCGGATAAAATTGAAGTAATAAATTAATATTGTTACCTTTACACCCCGAATATTAATCAAGAATTAAGACTACCCTGGTCTTTATTATTTTTACACAGTGGTATTTATTACTATATATTTGATAAAAAATCTTACCAGGAATTTCTCCAAGTTGATTGAAGATTAAAGAAAATATACAAAGCAATGTTCGCAGCACCTATCCCTATTATGATACTCAAAGTTAAATTAATCGTATCATAAGTTACGGAAAATTCAGTAATAGCGAATTGACCGCAGTAATGCATAAATGCTACGTATATGAAAATATACATAATAAGTTGTAATAAGTTGTCAAAATCAAAAAAAAACAATAAAAAAAACAATAAAACTAAAAGAAATATATACCGATACTAGAACCAGCAATCGTTCCTCCTAATAAAATTCGTTTCAAGTTGACTTGTGGTTGAGCACCAATAGAATAGAATGCGATGCTCAAGACCACGATAGGAATGATTAATGATAAAATCGTATACCTATTTTAAATATAATATGTAAATTGATTCTTAACGTTCAAATGAATAAAAGATCTCGTAGGGAGGAATTATTAAACAAAATTTACCAAAGATTATATCGTAATTGTCTTCCACCACTTAACATACATGCTCTCATTCCTATAAAATGCATTCCCCATATACCAACAAAACCATTACTAAATGCAGCACCAATTAGTCGTAACCAATTCTTTGAACCACTTTGTGATGATCGTTTTCCTAACAATTCCAAAGTTGTAATCATTCCCAAGACAGAAATACAAAATGATAGAAACACCATCCAGTAATTCGTTGTTTGTGGAATCTCAACCCATATATTATTAGAAGGATCCATCTTAAACAGTATTAGTATAAGGGATATTTTCGTAAAAATTATCTGGAATATAAAGATGACTTTGATAAATCATATGACGTATCAATTCCAAATAACAGTTTGAATTCTTTAATAATGATTCGAATACTTTTTTTTCAAAAAATAAAAAAATAAAAGAATAAATAAATAAAAAATTGCAGAAAAACCAAGCGTATTTAAAGATTAATCTAAATCTATATGTAGTAAAATAATGGTGTTACTCCACATTTGATAAAAATACTTGATTCAATTGAGTAACAAATGTATATTATTTTTTTTTTTGTAAATTTATTCTGGTCAACATTTAATCTCATGATTTTTTATATCTTAAAATGGGATTTTGACCAGAACATGTATTAAGATTCTAGATGGTAACGGTTGCGTCGATTGATTATTCAATGGCAATACACTAACCGCTTGAGGGATGTAGTTATTAAATTTCACTAGTTAGGGAGTTATTAAAGCATTTGACAAGTTGGGCTGAATAAGGTCATTATTTAGGTCATTATTTATTTATGAAGTGAGATTTATTTATTTTCCTATGCTTATATATTGTACACGTGCTAGCATCGATTCTTTCCATATGAAGACACTCCGATAAATTGCATAAATATGTAAATATGTAAATACGTGCACCCTGACCAATTGCATAATATACTCGTGGCAAGATACACACTGATACATACATATATAAGTACATACATATATAAATACATATATACACGTATCAATATACGCATACGTACATGACATGATATAGCACGAAATTGAGATAATTTTATCTTCGGTAAACGCTTATTAAGTATTCTTATTTCTTTTTAGATTGTAGAGATTAAATTTTTTCACCATGAGCCGAAGAATTTATTTTCTGCTTCAGGAGTAATTTAGGCTTCCGAATTTGTTTCAATTCCTCCTGGCTAGAACCTTATATAGGGGTAACCAATCAACTTGCATAATTCACGCAAAATTTTATTTAGGTATGATTATTTATATTTTATTTATACATTTTTACAATCGTTGCGATTTATTTGTGGTTTAATTTGCCGCAATGTAGAAACAATTGTCTTGATTTACTAATGATTTTGGAAATATTAAATCCCATAACTTAGGGCATATCAGTTGATTATAATTGAATTTAGTTGTGCAAGATTAGGTTAAGTAATAAATTTGTACATCCAAACTGATCGGCATCCCTGTACTATACCAAATATTGATTACTGAAAAAAAAGGTTTGTCGCTATTGATGTTATTGATGTATAACGTATTATAACGTACGTTGATTGGTTGCTTAATAATGCTCTCTGATTGGTTGTTCCCTCATTTTCCCGATAATTATCTCCGATAAGCTTTCAGAATCTGCACATTTCGGTAATATTTACAGCTAATTTTGATGCTGACTAATAATAATCTAGTTGTTGAAACTGTTGAAACTGTTCGGAAATTACAGGCTGAAGTTCCGGCAGGAAATTACCTCGTTTTTTTCCGAAAAATTTCTTCGATAATTATTTCAGTATTTCCTTGGCATAATCAAAAATTGAATTATCTATGTCATTATAATAAAATGTCTACGTATTACATAATTCATCAACAATCTTTTTATTGCGGTTTATTGCATTTTATTACCAAGCCATCTAACCATATAACTCATCTAATAGCCGATATCATATAACGTAACAATTTACAAACAAACTACGCTTTAATGTTAAATTAATAGTATACATTTGTCACTCTAAATGATGATTACCATGTTGATAACCGGTTTTGAAAAAAAAATTTCGCAGATCGGTCAAAAGTTTTGAATTAAAACTGTTAGTTATCGACTGACTAAACATTGAACTAGTCAATTAGTAAGCTCATACTTGTAACAAAAATATTGTACATAATGATCAATTAGTCAATTAACAATCAATTCAATTAATAGCCGATTGGTCGACTACATAACAACTTTATTCCTATCCTTAATTAGGGAATATTGATGAAAAATTGATTTTCAAATACTTACCGGTGAACTTTGTTAGTGGAATAGTGCTATCGGCTAATTTATTATCGAATAAATGATTCCATTAAGTAAAATTTCAAGGCAGCCACTGTTACGTAGTGTTCCTTGTTAAAATAATATTTTAATGATATTTTAAATTTTTTTTTTAATGTGATAACGATTATAGTTGTTAGGCGAAACCCAAAAAAGGAAATTATAACAATGAACTTCATTGTTATAATTTCCTTTTTTGGGTTTCGCCTAACAACTATAATAACGATTAATTCTTTTGTAATTTGGCATATATGTTTATCAATATTGTCAACGTATTGTCTCACATATTCACATTTTAGAAATTATTGCCTACTTTATCCATATTTGGGGTTGCCTAAAGCGGATAAAAGTTTAAGAGTTACCTTTTGATTCAGTTAAGATGAGTGGGTATCAAGAATGTAATTTATGCAAGATGTAAATCCTATGCCAATAACATTTCTGATTAAATGTTTAGTGATGACGTAATGCCCATGGAATTTTTAATATTTTCACAGGCGAGCATCAGAAGCTGTGGAATATATTGAATTACCCTAACCCCCATATTTCAGTATTTGGTTATAGTCAATTTATGACGAAAGAGAACACAAAAAAAAAAATAAGAACGTCATCGATGAAATAATAAATAAACATTAACGTGTAAGATAATGGGAATGTTGTCGAAGATATGATAGTTTAAGTACGCAACTCCAGAATACGTCATTGCACATAATCATACCAGGACTCCCCTGATACTGCAACGCAGAGCACAAAATCTATTGTAAAATTTCGGAGATTTCCGTTTCGTCATGACAATTTCCGCCTTGACTTTTCATCAGTCGGAAATTTTCCGAATATGATATCATATATACGTATGTATATAAATATCAATAAATATTATTAAAAAACTGCTACATCCGACTGAGTGTTCTAAGTTCCGGTTAAAATAAACACCGCCGGAGAAAAAACAACTTCTGCATTCGGAAATTTTGTGCCCTGCTGCTACGTACTTCAGTATAATCGGACTAATTTGCAAATCAATTAATAAAGATGTCACATATAAAATTTTCTATTATGGTCAGATGATTGATGCAGTTATGAAAATTTGTGTCAAAAATGCTTCCCGACCTTTATTTAGTAAAAAAGAATCATAATAACTAGTTCAAAGTAGGTGAGAATTTGTTTTTTAATATTAGAAGCGTCTCATAAAATTTGAGTGGTGGTTAAAATAAAACCGAAAATAATATAGATTCTGTTTACCAATTTTTTTTTGTGGTTCTTCTTTGATCATTACTATATAAGTTTGAATATCTGCTTTTTTCTTTAGAGTTTCTTCTTTTTCTTGAAGAATTTCAGTAATAAGAGTGATCATGACTGGAAGAACAAGATTATTGATCATTTGCATTCATTTTTTTTATAACTATTTCATTAACTTGGTTTTTGGTTTGTTTATCTGGTCTTGCATTTTGTAATAAAATGTTTAGTCTGTTTACAATAGTAGCAATGGTAAGAATTTTTGCTTGAAATGTAGTTCTATAGTTAGTAGATTGAGGTTATAATGGTTATTGTTAAGTTAAGTTAATATTAAGTTTGGTAATCTAGTTTGTTAATTATTTAATAATTTTGTTTGTTTTTATAAAAATATTAGAAGTTATTATATATTTGGTTTTTTTTTTTTTTAATATTAAAGGTGAGTACTTGTAACTTAGGTTTTTATTGATAATATGTTTTGGTTTTGTAATTGTATTACAATAGTTACAGAAAGCAATTATAAGAAGAATATATAATTAGTCATTTGTACAACTTTAGTCATTGTCTAATTTAAGTAGTTTGCTTGAAAGTTTTATACTAATTGTCATATCTAGAACCTGCTTGTGAATTCTTTATTTAAATACTCTAATTTTGTATCCATCTATCTATTTACTTTACCAACTGTTCCAGTTTTTACTAATGTATTTATATCATAATTATTAGGTCTTTAAAGCAATTCACTTATATAAAAAACTTTTAACCTTATATTAAACCTATTGAAACTTTATATTATTTAATTTTCAGCTAACTTAATATTGCTATAGTTGAAACTAATACTTGTAATCAAAATAATCTTTAAACTATTATATCTTTGTAAAGTTTATATAACTTTTATATTCTTTTTTACAATTTCATTAGTATTTTATACATTTTTGCAAGTTTTTCTATATTACTAATCCAGTTAGTTTTATATAATGTGATTTTATATTTAGTTCAACTAGTAGTCAAATTAGTGAATTCTTTTATTTAAAGTTCTTGTTTATACAAATTATCTGTCTCAGGTTTTTATCTTCAAATCAAAATTTTCATAGATAGTACTATTAAAAATTGTATTATCTCTCTATTTAAAATTTTTTAAAAAAACTTCTTATTTTTTTTTTTTTTTTTTTTTTTTTTTTTTTTTTAATCTTAAACAGTTATGCTAATACTTTATTAAAATTTTTGAAACTATATATATACATAATTACATAGAATTTTCCAATACTTAAGTTTAACATCACTCAGCCACCCTAGTAGTACCTAAATGCAACCTGTTGCATTATCTTAGTTAGAGACAGACTGCTTGTCTAACTACTTAAAGTCATATCAAAAGGGTCTTCTTCCTTCTGTAACAAGCATATCAATTGTCTTTAATGCTTTATTCTTCATTTGTTTTACTTTTTCTGTTTTCTTTTCTTTTTCATCTTCTTTCGAAATTTTATTTTTTATCTTCTTTCTTTTTCATTTTCCTTTTTTTCTATTATCTTTTTTCATTTTATTCATTATATTGGAACTCTTTTCCTATTCTTGTACTCTTTCATATCAAATTTTTTACACTTGGTTATAAAAGGTGTTTCATACTGTTCTAGTTACTATGTCTATACATTTTTGTATTACATTTTTGTTTAACAAATGTTCAAGTCCTTTTTTAACTTTTAATATTATGAATCCTTTTATCAGTACT